CTATCTACCTACCTATCCATCTACCTACCCTCTATCCATCTACCCTCTATCTATCTATCTATCTATCTATCTATCTATCTATCTATCTATCTATCATCTGTCTATCTATTTATCTATCATCTGTCTATCTATCTATCTATCTATCTATCTATCTATCTATCTATCTATCTATCATCTGTCTATCTATCTATCTATGATGTAGGGGTGTGTTGTGGTATATGAGTGGAGGTCATAGAACAACTTCCACCATTTGGGTCCCAGGCATTGAACTTGGGCTGTCAGTTTTGGTGACAGGCTGCGCAGTGTTGCTGGCCCTCTCTTGGGATTTGGGTTCCTGAGGTGGGTGTTCGTTAAGTGCAGGCTGTGATTCAGCAGCCACAAAGCCAAGGAGCACTGAGATGAGACTGAGGATTGAGTGGAACTGGCCCGTGCCAGGGCAGGACGCTGGTGCTGCCCTGCACTGACTGGCTGCTAGCCAGGGCCTGGAGACAGCTCCTTGCAGTGGGATGTGACAACTAGACTCCCTGTCTGCTCTGACTTCTGGGGGAAGGTCCCTGTCCCTTAGACTCTGCTGAAGGGTTGGGCAAAGGATGCATGGCAGGAGAATGCACCCGGATTCTGTTCCCAGAAAGTGTCCTGAACAGCATTTCCTTTTCCGGATCTCAATTTCCCCCTTATTTGTGAAATGGAGGCACAGGGCTGGGTGGCCCTCCGGGAGCCCTGCATTCAAGAGTTTTGATGATGTTCTTTTACTCCAAAAACTGTAGGGGGCAAAGGTCAACTCAGGGACTTCCCTCATGTTGTTCCCCGTGGTGGCTGGGGAGTGCTAGCCAATGATTACTTATTCATTGGAGGCTCAGAGATATTGAGTGACTTGGCTAAGACCACAGAGCACAGCCATCTGGAACTGAGGCCCCTTTGTTCCAATCTCCAACTTAGACCTTGGCACCTCATCTCCCTGTTTACTCCAAGCTCAGCATCCTAGGAAACCCTTGAACGCCTGACCGGGTAAGTGGAGGTAAGGACAGAAGGAGGAATAGGGAAGGGGACTTCCTCCAAGGTGGGAGGGTGACCTTGTATTGGCTGGAAACCTGGTTTCATCCCTGCCCTCATTCCAGGCAAACAGTCTCTGGGCCTGGGCTGAGGGCGGCTGTGAGCAGGACGGGGTGGGGGAGCACACTGTGTGTAGAGAGGAGAGCTCCAGGGAGGAGAAGATCTTAACGGAAACCAAGACCAGGACTGGAGTTGTAGCTCAGAGGTAGAGAGCTGGCCTAGCACACACAAGGCCTTGGGTTTAACAGGCAGCACCTCAGAAAAGGAGGGGAACAGAAAACAACAACAACAACAACAACAACAACAAAGACCAAACAGGAAGTAGCCTGTGCCTGCCTTAGAGAAGAGCAGCATTACTTATCCTCCTCATCCCAGTCGGGGGACTCCTTCACATCCCTACCCTCCAGCCTGCTGGTGAGCACACCCCCTCCTTACCCTAACCCTTCCCACCCCCCTACTGTGGCACATCCTGGCTCTCACAGCCTGCTGCCGCCTCCCAGCTGGCCTCTCCTCTCCTGGCTGAGCCCAGCACACTGAGGAGCCAGCCAGGCCTGGAGTCTGAGCATGCTGAGCATGCTCTCTGTTCAGCTCACACACAGGGTGGGTAGTGTCCCATCTCAGGGCAAAGCCGATGTCTCGGAGCCTGCCAGTGTCAGAGATGCTGTGGTGGCTGCTCTTGGGCCTGAGGTGCGCCCCTCTCCGGTGATGTGATGTGGTGTGTGTGTGTGTGTGTGTGTGTGTGACTGCAATAGTGGCAGCTCCAGCCCCCCCCCTCCCCCGCAAAGGCTACTTTTGGCTTGAGGAGCCAACGGGAAAGGGAAGCCGTCTCGTCAGCTCGTCAGCTCTGTCCTCATCCCTGCTTCTGCACCACGGCAGCAGCTGTCACACACACTGCCACACTAAGCAACCACAATGGCTAATGCCTTCTGAGTGCTTACGGGGCTCCGGGCTGCTCAGGAGCGATGTCTTAAGCCAGCTCACTGCATCCCCACCACAACCTCGAGAGAGAGCACTGAAAACGAGGCTGGGGAGGCCGCTGAAGAGGCAGCTGGATTTGAACCTCTGCAGCCGTGCCCATGTGGTTCTTCTGTTCCCCGGCCTCCTGGTGGCCTAGCTGAGTGTGTCCATGGCCGCCTGGTGGTTACTTTCCCCTCGCTGTTAGTGTCTTTCCTACCTGCTGGTCTGACCATGCTTGAGGAGGGAATGCTGCTTCAGTTGCTCCCTCAAGCTGAGGGGGCGTCTCTGGTGAGGGGCCCTCCCACTCAGGTGTGACCCTGCATGTTGAGGGGAGGTGCTGGGTCGCTGTGTCTGGAGTCCTCAGATCCTTTTCCCTCAGTCCCTTCTTGTGGTCTGTGTGTGTGTTACCCAGTTCTGCTGTGTGTGTGTGTGTGTGTGTGTTACCCAGTTCTGCTGTGTGTGAGAGGGTGTGTGCAGGCATGTGTGTGTGTGTGTGTGTGTGTGTGTATGTGTGTGTGTGTTACCCAGTTCTGCTGTGTGTAAGAGGGTGTGTGCAGGCATGTGTGTATGTATGTGTATGTGTGAGATCCAGTGTTATTAGTGCTGGCCACTCCCCTCAAGACCTAGCACCAGGCTCTAACTGTTGAGTAGGGGACCTGATCCTACCTAATTCGTCTTGCGCTATGAAAGTCTGTAATAGTGTTGATTTGGGTGTCTGGCATACAGTAGGTGCTTAATATGTGATTGTGGACAGGGACCAATCACCCTGATTCTTTTTCTCTCACTCCAAGCCACATGGGTGAGGGAACTAAGAAACACAAATTTCTGTCTTATGGACATAGCAGAGACACCCTAGCACAGAAAGGGACATGTGCAGATATAGACCAACAGACAGACAGACAGATACTTAGATGCATGGACACGCAAGTACTAGACACAGAACACGGCACAGATGTAGACCCAACATATGTTGACATTTGAAAGGGGCTGGTGGCCTCTAGCCAACACCTCCTTTTCCTTGCTCAGACTAAGGAAGAGGCAGGGACCACCATGACAGGCACATCCTATGGTCCACAGTGCTGGGTGGGACAGCGTGGCCATTCATCTCTAGTGGGGGCAGTGGTAGGTGAGGCGAGGCCCACACCATCACACTTAGCAAAGGTATTGGGAACAAGGAGGTGGGTGAGGGGAATCCAAGGTTATTCCCACATTACTGAGGCCCTGGACTCTGCCCCAGGATTGATGGTGGCTCAGGGATGAAGACCATGCATGCATGCATGCATCCATCCATCTCTCCCCTCAGGAAGACCCTTCCTTGCACCAGGCCCTTGGGAAGAAGGCTGGATAGCGGCTTGTGAGCAGATGCACCCCGTTTCCTCTGCTGACCAGGAGCTGAGCTTTAGACTCCTGTCTAGTCACACCCTTCTAGAATCCTCTGTATTCCTCTGTCCCAAGTCGCCCTGGGTGAACAAGGAGGGTGGAGGTGGCACGCTGACCCCTCTCTGGTTCTTCAGATTATTGCTCAAACTCCCGGCGAGTGCTGTCAGCCGCACCCTGACCCTGGCAGGAGGGCCTCCCCCTTCCTGCTGGACTCTGTGTGGCAGTCTCACATGCTTTGTGATGAACTTGCTGATTTCCTTGATTGCAAATCTTAAGTGCCTGAGGCCAGGCCTCCGCAGCTGTCTGCTTCCAGGTCCTCAGCACCTGGAGGAGGGCTGGGCTTACAGGAAGGAGGCTGCTCCATGGAGGACTGGAAGACTGTGAGTCTTCACACTTGGAAGGGAAGGAGGAAGATACACTTGTCTCTAGGGTGGCAGCTTCTTCTTCGGAGGCTTAAGGCCCCCAGGAAAAAGGAGGTGCGGGTTTGACAGGGCTAAGCTCCCCATCTTACAATGGGCTTGGGCTTGGGAAGAGCCTAAAGGCCAGTGACAAAAGGGACGGGCAGAGCCACACCCCGCCCCCACCTCCTCACGCATCTGCTTTCCTCGGTGTGAGTTCAGAACATGGAAAAGGGGCTCAGATGTCCCAGCAGTCATCCTCTGTGGGTTGGGCAGAGCTGCTGGGAGAAGCCCGCTTTGCTGGCCCTGCCCCTTTCCTCATACCTCTATCGTGTTAGTGAAACCTGAGTGGCCTGGGCACAGAACTTGGCATCTATTGGACGCGAGAGGGGCTTATACCAACCCGAATGCTAGCTCTTCTGAGAAGCCTTCCCTGGTCACGCTGTATGAAAACAACCATCTCCCCTACCCTCTGGCTCTGGCTCCGTGGCGCTGTAGTCCTCACACACCTAAGGGGCTTTTTAAGCTCGCTCACCTCTTCAGTGCCTCCTTTGACCAGACCAGGGTTTGCTCTACTCCATTTTCTCCTGCTTCCCAGCACTTAGCGTCATGCCTGGGACACAGCGAGGCTCTGTGAAGGTGAGCTGACTGAATGCATGCATGGAAGAAGCGCATAGCTTTTATTTGAGGAAGAGGGTGGAGCCAGAGCTAGGCTGGCCTTGAACTCCAGATTCTCCTTCCTTCATCTCCTGGGGCTTGTACACCACTCCTGGCTCTTTATAGAGGTGTATTTGTTTGTTTTAGAAAAGTAGGCATAATCTCTGTTCAAATTATATTTCAAACCTGAATTCAGAAACAAGATGAGGAGGCCTGGGGTGGGGATGGAGGAACAGATGTTTCACTGCAACTCCTGACCCTCACTCATGATGCTATTTGGTAGGTGATATCCTCATTTTTACAGCCAGGTGATTTTGGTCCGAGAGGTGAAGGTACCTGGTAGGTCAGGGCTGAGCTGGTACTTGAACTAGATGCGAGACCAGGCCTTGGGCAGCTTTGCCCTTACCTCTTTTGAGCACTAATGTGCTCTCCGGCCCCAGGAGCCCAGGTAAGGACCCTTGGTGGGCTTGTGCGACATTGGGCTTGTCTGGTTAGTCCCGAGCTCTATTCAGCTCACACTTGTATATCTTCAGAGCTTACGTCATCCCAGAAGAGTGGCTTCAGCTAGCCCTGGGCTGGGTGGGTGCAGGGAGCCGGGGTTGGCACAGGTCTGACCCTCCCCTGAGTGGAGCAGAGTTGGGTGGTGTCATGGTTTGTGTTCTCTACTTGATGGAGAGGAGCCTCTGGGTGTGCATGCCTGTCTGGGTCATCTTGGATTTATTGAGGTGTGAAGAACTGCCCACTGTGGGTGGCACCATTCCCTGGCTGGGATCCTGAATTGCGTCAGAGGAGGAGGGGAGCTGAGTGGCAGCTTGGGTTCATCACTCTCCTCTCTGCTTCCTGACTATGGATGTGACAGGGCTGGCAGCTTCAGGCTCCCGCTGCCTTGCCTCTCCTGCCGTGGTGGGCTGTCTTCTTGAACTGTGAGTCAGAATGAGAACGACCTCCCTCGAGGTGCTCTTGTTAGGGTATTTCACCATAGCAACAGTAAGACAGACAGGCTGTTTGTGACCTTGTAACCACTGGGGCCCTCACTGCCTTTCTGGAGTCCACCCTGTGTGGCCACTGTCTTTTCAAGTCCAGAGGTCTAAAGGCAGAGCTGCCTTGAGCGGCCAGGCTCTGGTGTCTCTCTCCATTGGCCGAACCCTTCCCATTGCCCTGGATGGCTTCTCTCCCCGCCTTCCACTCTGCCCCATTCAGAGCTCTCTCCTTGGGGTTCAATGTCGAGCCTTCTATCAGGTGCCCGGCCCTCCGCCCGCCCCAGTCTCTGGCTGCCCCAACTCTGCCGGTTTCACCTTGCTTCACCCCTCTCTGGTCTGCACCGTGTCTGCCCCTCAAAGCTGGGACGGGCCTCCCTGCCTCCATGACTCCCTTCAGTCCCCTGCGCCGATCGCCAACAGCCCTTTCCAGACCAGGCCCTATCTCACTCAGAAGGGCGTCTGACCATCTCCCCAGACCCACTAGGCTGGGACCCTTCTGTATCTCTACTGGCTTAAGCTGCAGGCTGGACTCCAGCTAGCTTGTGTTACCCAAAGATGGGGTACTGTTCTTGCCTCAACACCTATCCTTGGTGGGTTTCTTCACTAGGCTGTCTCTTCCCAAGAAATCCTCTCACCGTTCCCCTTTTCCTCATTCAGAAAGGATGTCTTGGTCCCTTAGCGAGGTAATACCCCTCCCCCCGTCTTTCCCCATCACACTCCATTCTCTGAGGCCATCTCGGGCTCTTGCTCACTGCTTCTTGCCTCCATTGGGGCCCCGCCTTCCCAAAGGCCCCAGCTGTCTGTTCGGTTCACCCCGAGATCCTGAGTACTGACGACAGTACCCACCCACAGCCTAGTACATGGTGGGTGCTTAGTAACTATGCCACGGTGAATGAATGAATGCTCCTTTTGGAACCACAGTTTACACCCTGGTAACATCTCTAGGAAACACTTTTGGGAAGACCTCTGTGGGGAGCGTGGCAGAGGGAGCAGGCTGCCTTACATCCCAGACTCCTTCACCACCCCAGGCTGCCTTCTTCTTCTGCATGATACGGAAGCTTTAGGACTCTAGTCTTTCCCCAGATAGCTAGCCCTCAGGGCTAATTCCATCCCTCTCCGAGACTCTCAAGCGGGAGGCTTACTTAGCTAAGGTGGTAGGGTTAACTAACCCAGGCTCAGGGCTGACTCAGGCTCCACCCACCTGCAGGTGAGCCCCACCCACCTCACTGGCCCTCAGCAATTCTTCTGGAAGTCCCTGCTGCTTGCTTTGTTCCTCCCTGGTGGTATTTCACCATGGTTTACCCCATTTGCCTATCCAGTCACTTCCTTGGTCTTCCAGAGACGCATGTTACCAGACCCCGACTCCCTGTCGGACGTGGGGATGGGGGTGTGCTGGATGGGGGTGAAGACATGCATGGGTCAGAGACTAAGAAACGTCTGTCTTGCCAGGATGCTGAATGCATCCAGGAAAACTGCAGTGTGGGGTGATAAGACCTGAGAAGGGAATAGAGGCAGGGGGTGAGAGGGGCCTAAGAGGGGCTTTTGAACCGTAAAAGATGTATGCGGGCAGGGGCCCTTCTAGAGAAATCATCCCTGCCTCCCAGCTCCCCTGGCTTCATAGAATGACAGAAGCGGTGGCTTTGACCTTTCCCAAACCAAGCTGTTTAGCTCAGACTACCACATCATATAGCGCAGGGCCAGCGCACCCACACCATCCTAGGCAGGCTGCTGCGTGCTTTTGTGAGTGCACTTTCATGGAAAGTGCCACGAAGAATCCTGTATCAATTTTTTCCTTAACAAGTGACGTCCAATAAAAATCAGGCATAGTGGCTCATGCCAGCACTGGGGAGGTGGAAGAAAGGGAATCGGAAGTTGGAGGCCATCCTCGGCTCTACAGAAAGTTTAAGGGTAGCCCGGGCTACATGAGAGACCCTGTCTTTAAGAAGAGGGGCATTTATCCAGTGTCTGTGGCAAGGATGGAACCACTGTGCCTTGAACAGCTGAGAACATTTCCTGTCTCATCCTTTGCAGAAACTGTTTGCTCATTTATTCCACACCCTAGAACTCCTACATTGCCCAGTGAACTCAAGTCAGATCTTGGGACTCATGTTGCTGACACAAATCCATGCAGGGACAAGATGAGCCAATACCCCAGACACGTCTGTCTTTTTCCCTAAGGAAGCAGAGACACAGCATGGCAGAGGGGTCCCCTGAGGAATCCTGTATTTCACAAGAGGCATTAATTGAGCACCTATTGTATTCTGGGTGCAATACTGAATGACACAAACTGACTCAAGGCCCAGGTGTGTGTGTGTATGGCCCAGCTTCACCCTCCCACTCCTGGATCCAGGCCTTGTTTCTATCAGAACATCCTGGGGCCAGCTGGCTCCGAGGGCCTTCCTCCTTAAGCATGCTCTTACTGGTACCAGGGACTGTCTTACCCACCCATCCGTCCAGGCCTCCCCACTGCTCAGTACAGGCACAAAGCAGGCACCCAATCCATGTTTATTGCGTTGTCTGACTCCAGGACGGTAACAGGTAATGACAACCAGACAGCCCCCAGGGAGTTCTACTTAAGAGCAAAATCTCAAGGGAATTCAGAAAAGGAAGTGATGACACTCATGATATTTTCCTCCCCTTGGCTCCCTCAAAAAGCCACCCAGGCGTGGTGGCGCACACCTTCAATCCCAGCACTCAGGAAGGAGAGGCAGACAGGTCTCTGGGTTCGAGGCCAACATGGTCTATAGAGTGGGTTCCAGGACATCCAGGGCTAGCAGAGAAGCCCTGTCTCGGAAAACCAATAAGTAAATAATAAATAATCTATAAGTTGTGTTCTACTCCCTTTCTGGCTGCCTCGCCAGTGCCACTTTCGATAGGCTTTTCAGGGAACCCGGATCCCAGGCCGACCTGCAAGCTGTTGCCTCTGTTGTGAGGAGTAATTACTGAAAGAGACAGGGGCCATTCATATAATAAAGTGCCTCCTGCTTTTTTTTTTTCCATCAACAGGATCCCGGGTGATGTTAACTGAGATGCTGTCGGGGAGGGAAAGAGGAGAGGCGCCCGGGAGCAGAGGCAGGGACAGTAGCTTCTGGTCCTCTGTGAGCAAACCTTTTCATCAAGCAGCCTGAGAGCCTTCAGTGGAGCTGTCCCAGACCTCAAGGACCCTCAGCTCCTCTCTGGGAAATCCCTTTTGATAACTAACAAGGTCTGTGTTGGTTTCTGGGGATGCTTGAGAAATTTCCTTGGGGCTTCAAAAATGCTTTCTCTTGATAATATATCTCAGGGGGATTTAAGATCACAGCGGTTACACCAGGGTTTAACTTTGATTTGACTTGTGGTGGGGGGGGGGAAGGAAAAATTCTCTCCCTCTCTCTTCCTCTGTCTCTCTAGTACAGGCGCACCGCCACTGCCTGCTGGTTTTGTAATTATTTGGGAAATGTTTCCTGAATTCCTGTTCCGTGCCATGCCCAGCGTCGGAGGAGAATGCCCCTTCTCTGTAGAACTGCGGGATGTTACCCAGCAGACAAGGACCCCCGCCCCGACCCTCAGCGTGATAAAGAGGGTGGCTTCCTGGAGGAGGTGAGGTGTGAGGAGAGATCTGGGAGATGAGCCGGAGTTGACCAGTCAAGAGGGAGCAGCTGTTTCCTACCCTCAGCTGTAACCAGGGTTCTGCATACGCCTGACCTTTGAGTCTCAGAAGGAACAATTTGAGGGACCCTTCAGCTAAGGAGATGAAAACACCGTTGTCACTCACGGAGGAAGTACTCTGCGGTGTCCGCTTCGTAGTCTGCGTCCTCTGGAAAGTGGTCGATTTGCTTGCACAGACCTTTGAAGTTCCCTGTAAGATACGCAGAAGGAGCGAGGTGAGTGCATGGTCTGCATGGCTCAGGACCCACCTGCCCTTCCGGGACATCATGAGGGTCACTCCCTGAGGGCCCCTTTGCCTGGTAGATGGAAGCACACGCTGCAGGCCTGAACACGGAACTGAGGCTCAGACATGAAACCCCGATTTCTGTCCCCACGTCGTCCCCGTCCCTGAGTCCCTGTCCTCACTGCCTTCTGGGGATTAGCTGGAGCCCAGGTTTGATTCTGGGTGGAGGATTATGCTGAGAGGGGTGGGGGATGGGCTCAGCAGCCCAGCAGGGGGGGTGGGTGCTGCTGCTTGGCAAGGAGTCTCCCAGTTCTTTGCAAGCTGTGGATTCTTTCCCCAGAAGGCAGACCCCACCAGACTGATGCAACAGACAAATCCCTAGAAGATGAAACCCATCTGCACTGACAGGATATTCCCTTCTCAGCCCCACAGCCCCAGCAGTTCTGAGCTGAGGGGCGGGCCCTCTACCACGTCCCTTTTAGGACTCAAGGTTTCTCTGTGTAGCCTAGACTGGCTTCACATTCGTCATGATCCTCCTGTTTTAGCTTTCCAAATGCTGGGTCACTAGTTTTTAGTTTGTGGACTACCGTTCACCAGAGCAATGAGAGGCCCATGTGAGCAGTGTTACCACCCCATTTCACAGACAGAGACACTGAGGTGCTCCAGCACCTCAGTACCAGAACAGCAGACTGGAGTGGAGCGCAACAAGGGCTCAGACTTTGACCTTTGTCTCTAGACTGTCGCTTGGTGAGAACTGGCCCCAGGCAAGTGCCAGCACAGAGCCCCAGTAGGCTGTCAGCAGTGTTCACCCAGAGAGTGAAGGGTCATGGGAGGAGGGGAACTGCAGACAGACTGACAGGTGGGATGCAGTTTGCCAGCACCAGAATGTCCGAGTTGCCCCTGGTCTGCTCTGTGCATTTCCCAACTCTGTGTCTCCAGCATCAGAGAAGGCAAGGCTGGTACCAGTTCCTGCGAGAAGGACAGCCCGGACTCAGACTGCCTGGTCCAGCTCAGCTTCCTTCGCTTAACTCAGTTTCCGTCTGAGCACACATCCATGTGTCCTGAACGGTTGGTGGAGTATTTAGTTTGGTGACTGATGTGGGAGCCGTGAACTGGAACGCCGTCAGCTACTGGCCTTCTGTGACAGTGGCTAGAATCACTTAATAAATTCAGTCCCCAGTAACTCAGCAATTTAAAACTTTTACCTTATTTTTCTATATTTATTTATTTGTTTTTAAGACAAGGCTTCCCTCTGTGTAGCCCAGGCTGGCTTGGAAGTCACTATTTAGTTCAGGTTGGCCTTTAGCTCATGGCAATCCTCCTGCCTCAGTCTCTCTAATGCTGAGATAACAGGTATGAGCCACCATGTCCAACTTAGCAAATA